GGCTCACGCCTGTAATCCCAGCACTTTGGGAGGCTAAAGCGGGCAGATCAGCTGAGGCCAGGAGTTTGAGACCAGCCTCGCCAACATGGTGAAACCCTATCTCCAATAAAAATAACAAAAATTAGTCGAGCGTGGTGGTAGAATGCCTGTAATCCTAGCTACTTGAGAGGCTGAGGCAGGAGAATTGCTTGAACCTGGGAGACAGAGGTTGCAGTGAGCCAAGATCACGCCACTGCACTCCAGCCTGGGTGATGAGCAAAACTCTCAAAAAAAGAAAAAAAGATATAAACAGAGGACAGGGTGACTGAAGTCTCCTTGGGGGTATGAAGGTATCACTGGAAAAGGAAAAGACAGGCTAGCCAGCGTTTGGCTTAATTTACTTTTCTAGTAAATCTCAGCTTCTATCTTGTCAGGTATAGGATCTAGTGTCTAGTATGAAGATTCTGGCATTTTGGCATGGAGTTAGTACAGCAGTGAGATATAAGTAACTTACAAGACATCCCTGATCTGTACTGAATATATAGCAGAAATCAGAAGTAGTCTACAGAGCATTTTTGGAAAGATTATTTCTAGCCAGGCACAGTGGCTCACGCCTGTAACCCCAGCACTTTGGGAGGCTAAGGTGTGCGGATCACGAGGTCAGGAGATCGAGACCATCCTGGCTAACACAGTGAAACCCCATGTCTACTAAAAATACAAAAAAAAAAAAAAAAATTAGCCAAGCATGGTAGCAGGCACCTGTAATCTCAGCTACTCAGGAGGCTGAAGCAGGAGAATTGCTTGAACTCGGGAGGTGGAGGTTGCAGTGAGCCGAGATCATGACATTGCACTCCAGCCTGGGCGACAAGAGTGAAATCCTGTCTCCAAAAAAAAAAAAAAAAAAAAGGCATGTGACCCAGTGATAAGGAAAATGGGAGGTGACAATGAATGAGAGATGTCAACATTTTGGAAAATGAAAAACAAGAGTGAACAGTGACGTAACAAAGCAGAATGAGGTGGGTTGTACCTGCTGAGGAAGTTAGTGACAAGAAGCAAGCCAATGTGCCCTTCTGAACCTAGAAAACGTTCAGCGCCTCGGAGGAGGGTATGGACTGATGCTGAGAACTAGGGGTGGGTGGAAGGAGATTACACAAAGATCTGTATAAGAAAAAGCACTACCAAGTCCCAGCCTCATCTGATCCAGCCGAGTGATTACCCCTACTCTCCCTGCATTAAATGGGAGATTCTGTCTCTGGAGAAATGGTAGGGGAAAAATCAGCAAAGATAGACTTTAGGTTTCCTAAGCCCAAAGGTCACAGTTTTCCAGACAGACTGCCCACCTGTGCCCAGCATAGTGAATGAAAAAGCCCATAAAATTTCAGAATGTCCAGGAGAACTTAAACTATCAGAGCCTCTGCATTCAGGAGCAGGCATAGTGGGGATAGAGGTGTGGTATTAGACTGAAAATGAAGAATTAGGTGAAAATATATGAGCAATGAGACGCAACACCAGCACACACTGACATAACCTCCAGTCTAAAAATAAACAACTGCAGGGAAAAAATACCTACGCATGCTGACAATTTTGGTTTCGTCAACAACAAAAGAAGTCAGCTTTCCCCCGACATGATCACCCTACAGTGAAGCCTGTTGGTTGATAATAAGTCTTGTACGTAGACTGAACTTCTAATCTGCTCTTTGGTGTCTCTCTGTTAAATATGAATAGACAGCCAAGGACCACTAAACACCTGAGTAACCTTCCAGTATGACAGACCAAAACAAACAGAAAATTGAAACAATGACAAAGTAGGGAGTTTTTTAAAAACTTCATGGGGAAAAAGCTACAATTAACCGTTCTTGAAACTCAGAAGATATTGTGTTTATTAAGTACTTTAAAAAGGAAGAATTGGAGGCCGGGCACGGTGGCTCAAGCTTGTAATCCCAGCACTGTGGGAGGCCGAGGCGGGTGGATCACGAGGTCAAGAGATCGAG